ATTTATTCATACTGAAAAGAGGACTAAACCCAAATGGCCAGCAGATGGCCAGCAGATGGAGAGATAAGTAATACTTCTAGACCACACTCACTCAGGCATATAGAGGTCAGAGGCTGGTGCATGGAACACAGAGGTGAACCTTTAAAGTCCTATCCTAAGTGAAGGAGAGAACACATAAGGCCGGCTCACTTGTGATTCTATTAGTGAGAAATGTCCACAATAACTATCCACAGAGACAAAAAAGGAGATCAGTGGCCAGAACTGAGGGAAGGAGGGCACTGGAAGTGGTTGGTTGGTAAAGGGGCTTTCTTTGAGGTGATGTCTTGGAACTGGACAGTGGGAATGATGGAGTAAACTTGTAAGTGTCTTAAATCGCACACTTGAAGAGCTAAGTGCTGTGCAATTTTGATATACAGAACACATCAGTGGCAGAATATATTATGCCAAGCAGTTTGGGAAAGCCCAGGTATCGGCCATGGTCTTCTCCCCAGTGACTAGAATGGCAGACTCTCTTGAGACATGACCTCTGGTCAATTACAAAATATATAAAAGCAACACAGTCCTCAGCTGTGATGGGAAAATGGAACCCGTCTTTTCTGCTTCTTCATTCTTACCTATCATTTCCAAATTTTCTAGCTTGACTAAGTATTACTTTCTCCCTAGAAACAGGCACAACCTAACTCCCTTTTAGGATGCTGTTCAAACAGAAGAATATGTTCCTTTAGCATCAAATCATTTATAGGAGGTAGAGTGATGATGACTCAGTGGCTAAGAGCTCTTGTTGATTCTGCAGAGAATCAAGGTTCAATTACAGCTTCAGTTCCTGGGGAATCTGATAACCTCTTCTGACCTCCTTGGGTACCAGGCACATATATACACGCATGCACATGTGCGCAAACACACTAAATCTTAAGGAAAATTTTTAAAAGGAAACTATTTATAAATATTTTCAAACACTGACAGGAGTTCTTTGGATATGACAGATCCCTGGGGAACCCTGAGCTCCCCTCCCCTTCTGATGGTCTCCCTATGTCAGGAGTAAAGTTGCCAGAAGGCTGAACTGTGGGGTCGTATGCTCTGTGTAGGCTTCTTAACTAAATGCTCTTGTGTGTAAGCATCAAGGCTGACAAGTACAAGCAGAGTGTAGTGGTGCATGTCTATATCCCCAGCCCAGGAGGTAGAAGCAGGAGAACCCCACATTTTAAGTCTGGCTGGGCTGTATAACCCTGTATCCAAAACCCAAAGCAAGACAGAATAGAACATATTTTCTGCAACTTTCTATCTTTATAATATTATTTTTTAAGCTGGAAAAATATACATTATATCAAAATGACCCCTAAACTAAATGACAATTCTGTTTGGAAGGAAATGAACCTTAGCAGCAGGATATAGGGAGGATTCTTATTTTTAAAAAAGATAAATAAAAAGAAAACTCAAATCCAGAGAAGCAGTTAACCCCAATCTACTCTGCTTTCAGCAGAAGGCTGGAGAGAATTTGCTCACCTTCAATCTAATCATCAAGTCACCAAAAATGCATACGGATACAGTTAAACCACATACAGACATTTGCTTTTAATTTCAAGGCAAGTGAGCCTTAGACTTTCTTAAATCCCTCCTGCAGGGTCAGAAGTTGAGGCAAGAGGCAAACATACTGGTTGCTCACTTCTTGTAGGAAGAGCTAAAGGAAGGATGAGGATGGAACTTGAGAGCACTAGTACAGACAGACAAAGCAAGCCTATCCATTAGGTTCTTCCAGTCAAAAGTGTATCACGCCCCTTTTACTGTCAAAAGTCACCAAGGACTTACAGTGATATAGGGAAGCCAGGGGTGTGTGTGTGTGTGTGTGTGTGTGTGTGTGTGTGTGTGTGTGTGTGTAAGAGAAAGAGAGAGAGAGAGAGAGAGAGAAGGAAGTAGCATAAGAAACAAACAGCAGGCAGGGTCTCTCTGATTTGTTTTCCAAGGAGTCTGCTAGCTTTCTATAAAATGTGATGTGTATTATATAGTGTCAAGATACACCTGGATCCATTCTGTAGTTTATTCTGAGATCTTAAAACAAAATGATATTTAAAAAAAACAAACAAACAAACCAAATGACCACTTTATTTTCTCGTTACAGCATACTCCTTCTTTCTATAAAGTGATGGCTTCAGAGTGACATTCCTGTTCAAGTATCTACATGTACTTTGGCTATATCCACTCACATTGCCTTTTCCTGCCCTGTCCTTCTCCAAGCCCCCATTCTAGTACTGCTGACCCTGGGGGAATTTCTTGGATTGGTGACAATGTTATATGTCCTGGATAGACTGAAGTTTGCAGGCTTCCCTGGTCATCAGTTACAGCAGGGCCATCTGTTCTGTAATCCCAGAGTGATCTAACAATAACAGATATCACCAGGAGTGGGGTCTTGCTGACAGGGGTGGGGTATGGCTCAAAACATGCATTTGGCTGAATGATATTCCAGGATCTGTATCCTGTTCACATAGTCGGATTTCTGGCCTACAGAGATGATCCTTGTGCTCCACCCAGCCTGGCTAGCCAGAAACTGAGAGCTTGGTACTACATCCAGGGTGGACCTGGTACTCAGTGCTGAAAATTCTGTCCTGTGAGACTGAACCAGGCTATCTAAGCCTCTGCTGAGAACAGGGCTTGGGTAGGACCATGGGTAGGAGTACCACCATGAGCATCTGGCAGGTGCTGCCAGGCAAAGGCTTCTCAGCAGTGATACATATTTCCCTGGTTTTTGTTTTTGACAGTATTAGGGATTAAAACTAGGGCCTTGTGGGTGCAAGGCAAACATTCTATCACCTAGCTACAGCCCTAGCCCCCCACACACACTTCTTTCTGTGGCTTTCCTGTTAACTAGTCCCTTTTCTGACTTGTATTTTCTTTAAGGACTATGGTGGCTTGAATGAGATGTCCCCTATAATCCCATGCATTTGAATACTTGTTCCCTAGTTGGTAGTACTATTTGAGTAGGGTTTGGGGGTATGGCCTTGCTAGAGGAAGTGTGTCTCAGGGAGCAGGCCTTGAAGTTTCAAAAGCCATGGACCATTCCCGGTTTGCTCTATGCTTCTGCTTCAACATGTGGGCTGTCTGCTACTATTCTAGCTGTCATGTGCTGTGGAATATTCTTTACAGGGTGTGACTATATCTCGCTGTAATTGATTTAACAAACAAGCTAACTAGCCAATAGCTGGATAGGATACAGTTAGGCAGGAAAGAATAAGAATGATGTGATGAGGAAAGGCAGAATCAGAGTGGCCAGCAGATGAACATGCCATGCTAATAAAGGTACTGCCACATAGCAGAGGGTGAAAAAGGAATATGGGTTGACTTAAAATGTAAGAGATAGTAATATTGGTTGAGCCATTACAATTAATATAAGCCACTGAATGGTTATTTGGGACCTGGCAGGGGGGACAGGAAATGTCTGCCTACAGCCGTGCCTTAATGCTGCCATGTTTCCTGCTAGAATGATAATGGACTCTTATCGCTCTCTCAGGCCCAAATAGCCCTGCCTTCTAAAAGTTATGGTGTTTCAACACAGAAATAGAAAAGTAACTAATACAAAGATACTTTCATCTATTTGTAACCTATTTTTTCCTCTATTACTAAAATAAAATTAATTTTGATAATGGGTTAATATGTAGGGAACTGCCTGTATATTTTATTGTGAAGTTTTTGTATTGTTCTTTCCTTATTTGTTTTTTTCAGTCAGAGCTCATGTAGCCCATGATGGCCTCAAACTTAATTTGTAATTGAGAATGACCTTGAACTTCTGATCCTCTTGCCTCCACCTCCCAAGCAGGATCATATGACTGTGCCACCAAAAACAGCTTCTAAAAATCTTATGTTAAGTATGGAGATTGTACTTTGTGGTTCCAGTTGTCATTTAACACGATCATGAGTAAGCCTAAGCAGACAGGGGCTTGAGATACTGCCTTAAAACGGGACTGTCATCATTTTTAGTATCACCAGTACCCTACAATGGCTACCTCAGCCAGGGAGATGGCCATGAGGAAATAAACCCAACCCCCAGCATTTCTCAGAACCCCTGCGATTCAGGGACCTTGTTCATCAGATAACTGCAATGGCCATCTTCCACATGCAAGAGGACATCTGCTGCCTATAAACTGGCCTGACTGCCAGGCTTGGCCCAGGGACCCTGTTCTTCCTAAGACAGGAAAGAAAAAAATCTCCTGAGAAGGCGGGGTCTGCCTTAAGCCTTCAGGAACCCTATAAAGCCCACTTGCTCTCCCAGCAGAACTGCTGCTCTCTACCCTTATGAAACAGCCACAGTTCGTCTTCCCATAACCTTTTTTCCTACCCATAGAGTGGTCCTCCTCTTCAGGGGGTTTCCTTTACTCACTTACAGTATCTCCTCTCTTCAGCCCAATGCTGAAGGACCAGCATCCTCCTCTGAGGTGGATCTTACTTATGGAGGCCAAGAGAGGATCCTACCAAAGTGCCAGGACCTTAGGACTAGAAAGCTGGGAGCTACAGAACACTGCAGGGATGAGGGATGAACAGGTGAGTGGTCCAGGCCTGACTCCATCTTTATTCCTCCATCAGAGTAACTGCAATTCTGTCTTTAATATTATCTGTATGGCTTCTGGAAGTAGGAGTACATGCACATAGCTCACTGTGGAACATAAGGCAGGAATTACACACACACACACACACACACACACACACACACACACACAAAACCACACAATAATGTCGTTTAGATTACACATCAAGTTTTGTTAGGAGTTTTATAAATCACTGGTTTGGCCCATTTTCCTTGTTTAAGAACAAAAACAAAAAAACCAAAACTTAAACTGGACACAGTGGCATATGCCTGTGGCCCTAGCTCCTCTGGGGCTGAGAGGAAAGGATTACTACAGACTAGGAGCCCAAGGATGAGATGACGTTCACACTTTAAAGAGAAACAGTGAATGAAGCCTGGCCACCCCAGCCTCTGGTACCCAGATCCAGTTTCCTCAGGAAGGTCTTACCAGGGTTCCGTCTGTCAGGGTACAACCGGAGAAGCGTTTTGCAAGAAATCCCTCAAAGTTAGTTGTTCTCTGAATCGCAAAAAGAAGCAATTTCACTTCAATTTCCTTAGCTCTGGCTCGCATGATTTTGGAAAGTTCTGTCCTTCAAAGTAAAGAAAGAAGACTGCGGTCAAACAGACATCTTTTATTCAAGATATGACAAAGCAGGCTGGAGAGATGGTTTCTCAGCTAAGAAACACTTGAAGCTCTTGGAGAAGACCAGGTCTAGTTGCCAGCACCTACATGGTAGCTCACAACCATCTGTAACTCAAGTTCCAGAATCTCTTCTGGCCTCTATTAGCACCAGGCATGCACATGGGGCATATAATACATACAGGATACACATAAATAAGAAATAAATATGTATTTTAAAAAATATATGCTCCCAGCACTCAGGAGGCAGGGGCAGGCAGATCTCTGTGAGTTTGAGGTTAGCCTGGTATACAGAGCTAGTTCCAGGCCAGCCAGGGTTACACAGAGAAACCCTGTCTTGAGAAACAAAAGATAAATAAAAATTAAGTGTGTGTGTGTGTGTGTGTGTGTGTGTGTGTGTGTGTGAGAGAGAGAGAGAGAGAGAGAGAGAGAGAGAGAGAGAGAGGCTTTTATTCAGAAAAAATTGTACAGGATCATTTCAAACTCTGAGGTCTGCTGCGGACTCAATCTATACGTCTGAGGAATAGAAATATAATAGTCTGGCTCCCAACTGGGATCATCCTAAGAGAATTCCTCAGATACTTGAAACCTAGGTAGTACACAGCCCTATACATGCTACGGTTTCTCCACTCATGTCTCTATGGAGAGGTTTAATTTATAAATTAGGCACAGTAAGAGTAACTTAGGATAAAACAACAATTAGAATAATATAATAAAAGCTACTTTGAAACTCATGAATTGTTTCTTTCTAGAATCATCCATGACGAGTGAATCCACATATACAGGTAGACTATACATACTATAAATAAGAATTTTTGAAATCATCCCCCAGCAAAAAAAAAAAAAATCAAGAATTACAATGCTAATAGTGTGGTTATTACCACATTTACATCTCTATGTGCTTCTCTGTTCTGAGACAGGGTCTCACTTGTTAGCCCTGACTGGCCTGGAACTTGGTATGTATGTAGCCCAGGGCCTCAAATCCAGTGATCTGCCTGCCTCAGCCTCCCAAATGCTGGGATTAAAGGTGGGCAGCCAATAACTGACCTGTATCTTCACATTTTCAGTCACTTGTTAGTAACACAAGGTGAAGCTTATTCTAGATCTTGTTATCTCCTATATACTTATATACCATATATAATTTCACAGATCATGAATTACTGAATTACAAAGCTCTTCGTGTACTACAGAGCTAAATACCAAATCTTATTGTCCAGATCAAGGCCTCAGAATGCCCATCAGAGGACCAGTAAAAGATGATACTATATGCTTGTCTGCTTCCTGCTTGTGGAGCCTATGGGTACCTCACCTGGGTGTTCTGTTACAGAATATAGGTTATCTGGGAACAGATGAGTTCTTAGTAGGTACTAAGGTGTCGACATCTTCCTGCACAAATGACAGAGCCAAACAAAACCTATGAGTGTGTTTGAGAATGATTTATCTGTAGGATGTCCTGTCCATCAAAATCCCCACAATGAAGCTTAGCAGCAGCACTGCCCTAGCTGGGACAAAAGCAGGTAGCAATGCTCACAGAGACATGCAGTCTTCAGTGAACTCCCCGTCTAGCACTCACTTCTTTTCGCAAAGGCCTAGCAAGTGTGCTGAACTGAAGCTGAAAGAAATTAGGGGCAATGTCTCAAGAAATTCACTCTTTGCCAACAAGATTTAGAAGCCAACAACCACAACTAGCCATGAATCAATACTTGCCTATTTGTTAAACACTGTATCTAAAGACTGGAAAGATGGCTCAGCAGTTAAGAGCATTTGCAGTTCTTCTAGAGGATCCAGGTTCAATTCCCAGCACCCACATGTTGGCTCATAACCACCAGCAAATCCAGTACCAGGAGATCCTATGCTTTCTTCTGGCCTCTGTGGTACCAGGTATACATGTGGGGTACAGACAAAACACGCATATACATACAAATTAATAATCTTTGAGAAAATACTATATCTCTGATATATGACAGCACATGCGTGTCTTTAACAACAGTCATTCTGAAGGTACACCATCAAAAGTGAACCCTAATGTAAACCATGGAGTCTGGTGAAAATGTTAAGGTAGGTTCAATGACAACAGCATGCCAGAGTGTGGGGGCGGGGGGAGGAGGAGGTATTGGTAATAAGATGGCTGTGTATGTGCAACAATGGGGCTTCATGGGAAATTTTGTAATGACCACCTAATTATGATGTGAACTTAAAACTGATCTAAACATTAAATGTTCATTTATTTTAAACAAATAAAATGAATATCACATAAAAATATGTTTTCCTACAGCGTATTTTAAGGGTACAGTTTGGAGGAAAATTTGGGATGGCGTATAGCAAAATGGTAAAGCGCTTCCCTAGTATTCACAAGGCTCTAGGTTCAATGTCCAGTATTCAATTCAGAGAGAGAGAGAGAGGAAAGAGACAGACAGAACTAGCATAAATGACACAAAGATGGCTGAGTCATGTTTAGCTGCAGGCCCTTCCTCTCCTGTATTAACCTAAAGTCAAATAAAATGGAACATACAGCAATAAAAACCATTTACCATACTGTTTGGTATAGTTACAAATAAATAATAAAAAAGTTTGACTCTGGCTTTCTCTGTCCTGGATATACCTGAGTTAACCTTGCTAGGGTTAATTCTTCAATAAGGGGGTAATTGTTCAATAAGGAACTTTGTAGCCTAGGCTATATCCACAAATACAGCAGAGAGGATGAATGAGGGGTCTTTAAAATGCCTAGGATGCTCAGATGCCAATATCAGAAATCACAAAATAGAAACACTGTATTAGGGAAATATATTAATAAATTCTTTCCTTAGTGTCTGCCATACCCTTAAAAGACAGACTACCCCTATCATTATAGAGCTATCCATCCCTCAAGTCAGAAGCCAAATGATGATGGATGGACACACTATGTACTGATATACATGAACCAGATGCAGGGGAATTGTGGGCATGACAAATCACTCTGGGAAAATCTGGCTGGTGAGCCCCAAACTGATAATGAAGGGCAGGGTAGCTATGTGATGTTTGAGGCAAGGGGCTAGACAACAGGGAAGTCCTGGAGCCAGGAAGGGAAGAGAAGATGAGGCTGTAGTTGGTGTGAGGGTGACACTAATCGTTTGGTAGAGATGGAAACAGTGCTGGATTTGCAGGTCACATGGGACAATAAGTCAGGCCTGGAAACAGGGGATGGCTGAAATTTACCTCGTCACATGGCAAAATTCTACTGAGATCCTTTCCGTCATGTACCACTCCCGGGGAAACATCCGACCATACTTCTCTTCATAGTCCACAAGCTGGCGCTTCACCCAGGCATAACGTCTGTCAATTTTGTCCAGCCAGGCAACCTGTGGAGGAACAGAAGCACCCAGTGCTCAGGGGTAGTGATAATAAGCAAAAGCTAGGCCCCAAGAGAAAAAGACAGCCACCCCCTATGTTTCTCCCACTTAAACAAGTCTACATCATGAATTTAGTTCTCCACCTAGGGTATGTAAAATGTTTATGCACAATTGCATTCTTTTGGGGGAGAAGATAGCTTTCATTAATTTCTCCAAATGGTCAGTCACTCAAAATGGTGAAGATCCACCAACCAGTCAAGTCAGCCTGGGGATCTGTGGTTCAGTGCACAACACTATCAAATAGTCAATTGAACTAATAAAGTATAGGTCAGGAGCTTGGCAACTTGAGTTTCTTTTTCAATAAAATTAAATTGTTTCATCTGGCCAATACTTACATCTTGGTTTTCTTGAAAAAGTACTAGGTACTCTGAAAGATGTTGTTTAATAAACTTTTTGATGATTTCCTGTTTGATTCTGGGGTCCAAAATATTAGCCACCAGGCAGGCATCTCTCAGGACATTGCTGGGTCCTCCTGGCCTCTGGTAAAACAAATAGCACATACAGGTTAAATGGCAGAAGCACCTATACATCTCCTGGCCTTTGACCGCTGCTGCTTACTTGTCTCTCACTGTTATTACTCTTCCCTTGGACACCCAGTCTTGCTGCAATATATTGATATCTTAGTCACCAATTCAAGAACAGAACATTAAGCTAGTCTTGCAGTAGTAAATCTATAAACTAGCCTGAGACTCAACAACAAGACATTAAAGAAAATAGAGCCAGCAAAGATGACAGGAAATTTTACTTTCTGGGTATCAAAACTGAAAGTGACCTAAAAAGCCAAAATATCAACAGAGATTTTATTGAAGGGGCCCAGAAGTCATTGTCACTCACATGTGCCATTTTTCCCGCTTTCACCCTTCCTTGGATCCCTGTTGTATTGTTTGCTTATTTGCCGACTGGCTTCACTGGCTGCTTTGAAACAAGGCCTTGCTATGTAGCCCAGGTTGGCTTCAAACTCAGGGTCCTCCTCCTTCAGCAGCCCCCCAAATGCTGGGATCACAAGCATTCCCTACCATGACCAACTGTCATTCTTAAAGAGCTATATTTGTGACAAAGGAGGGATGTGTGGTGTGTTAAAAATCCACACCAAATTCCAAACCACCAGGCTCATTTTACTAATGGTTAATCACCCAGACAAACCAGACCGCCAAAGGTGAAATACTGTGACACTGGCTTCCTGACCTGAAGAGTGGAAATGGAGAGCGGATGTAAGGATACACCAGCTTAGAAGGGCCTTGTTTACTACCAGTGCAACTGGATCTCACTAACCTGCTAGTGCATCACTGAATACATGTGCTGTCCAGCGTCCCCCTGTGGTACAAAGAACCCTTGGAAACTTTGGTTTAGCTACACAGCCTGGTGACTTGGGAGAAGTCACTCAAGCTCACCTGGCTTTCCTGATTGTTCATTTTTGTCAATTCTGCCCACCTCAATTGATGTTCAGAGATCACACAAGGTGTCTAAGCCCAAAATGCTATATGTGACCCGCTCTGTTCCGAATGACTATTCTGCTGCCTGCTCAACACATTGAATGTTTAACTCTGGCTTCAGGACGAAAAAATGTTTGAGCTCACTGACAAGTCATGGAGGCCAAAACTTTAAGTTCAGAGGTTCAAATTTTCTCATTTACAAAAGATTTACTAGATTATTTTGGTGTCTCAGTTACTTTTCTGTTGCTATGAGAGACACCATAACCAAGGCAGTTTATAGAAGAGTTTATTGGTGCTCATGGTTCCAGCATGGCAGCAGGCGGGTGGGCAGGCGGGCGGGCGGGTAGGGCACTGGAACAGTGATTGAGGCTTTATATCCTTATTCAAAAGTAGGAGACAGAGAGAGATCCAGGATTTTGAAACCACAAAACCCTTGCCTAGTGGGCACACCTCCTCCAACAAGGCCACACCTCCTAATGCACACCTCCTCCAACAAGGTCACACTTCCTAGTCCTTCAAAACACTTCCACCAACCAGGGACCAGTATTCAAACACATGAGCCAAAGGGGGCCATTCTCACTCAACCACCACATGTGGATACTTCACTTTACAAGTTTAATTAATTTTTTCTTCAGACAGGGTATTTCCTGTGTAGCCCAGACTGGCCTAGATTTACTATGTAGTCTGAGCTAACTCATGATCCTCCTGCCTCAATCTCTAGGATGCTGGCTGGGGTGATAGGCATGCGCACTAATTGATACTTTAAAAAAAAAAAAAAAAGATGTTTTGGTTCCAATTTGCAAAACAGGATTAGTAACACAAGACCTTTTAGAAAAATCAATAGCCTTTTAAAAAGGAAAAAAAAAAAAAAAACCTCTTAACACTATGTCATTAACTAACAGCCAGAAAAGGAAGTCGGGTCGTTAAACCCTTTTAACTTCATATGCCCACTGGGACCTGGGAGAAAAGGCAGAAAGTAGGCCATGGTTAGATGATAGGCAAATAGTAAAGGTAGCCATCACCCACTCCTTCTGAAACATCCTGCAAGGGGATGGGCAGAGAACACAGGAAAGCAGTTGCCTAGGAAGACTGATGTTTACAACTAGCCACTAGCCTTTAATAGCAGCCACTAGCCAAGCAATCCCTTTTTGCTTCTGAGAACTTCATTTTCCTCAGATGGCCAACAGAATAATGGCTTTCCAATCTATGCCTTTCCTGAGTTACATCAGGTGACTAAAAGATGCAGTTCTCTAAGCAAAGTACTTCACCAATGACTATCAGATTCCTGGTAGTCAGCTGAAAAACACCAAGGCATTAAGGTTAGGAGCTGGTCGCCTACAGAAAGCAATCTGTCAAAGCCAGGGCTGCCATCCCCACCTACTTCCTAATACAGAGCACAAAGGAAAAGTGATTAAGATATTTCCAGTTATTGAATTATAGAGCAAATGCAGGAAATGCTCCTTGGCTCACAAGTGAATGTATATCCATCCCTGTCTCCACCCACAGAGCCCGGTGAGGAATGCTGCTTGCTGGCCATGTGCTCAGCTTTGCTTCTGCCTTCAACAACGCTTTCTCTTGAAATAGCTCAAATAATAGAGAAAACAAGCTTCTGTGGGTTCTGCCTTGTCCAACACATGCAAAGCATTAAGATGACATCTGCTGCAATGTGAAGGATGGAGCTAATAGCAGTTTACCAGCACAATGACAGCCAAGGGAGGGAAGCCTGTGTGAGAGACATGCACCCAATAGCTCCCAAGTGAAAGCAAAGGCCTCACAGACACAACACCAATAGCCCCACCACAAACAAGCTCGAGGATCCCAGAGAAGAGGATTCCCACCATTAAAATCAAGTCTCTGAACTGAGCCCTGAGTTACATAAGCTTCTAGACACACCTCCTGGTTGTCATTTCACCAATCCCAAACCAGTATTATGTAACAATCCTAAAAAACATTGTGGTTTGAAGATTTTTCTTTTAAATAACAGCTATGAGGGAAAAAAAGTGAGTTTATAGGGCAGATAAAATGCAAGATTTGACATACATTAAATTAAACCAAATGAATCCTCATTTTTCCCCCCCACAGGGAAGGTCTCACGTAGCCCAGGCTGGCCTCAAACTCAGTATATAGGCCATGATGAACTTGAACTTCTGACTCTCTTGCATCCCCTTTTCTAGGGCCTAGATTACAGACATGCACTACCACACCCAATTTATGTGGGACTAGTGATCAAACTCAGGCCTCATACATGCTTAGGTAAGTACTCTACCAACCAAATCACACTCCTGTCCCAAGTCCTCTTTCTGAGGCTGGAAGGACACAGATAAACAATCGTATTGCATTGGAACACTTAAAACAGACGCTAGTATGAGCCGCCAGACAGTAGCCGCCTGTGCCAGCCAACACTTCCGGAGTGATATACCATGAATTACCACTCATGTATCTCCTACTTCACTGAATGGAGTATGAGGACAGTGATAATACCTAAAGATTGAAAGGAAAATGCAAACCAGTACCTTGGTACCCTGCGAAGGAAACGCCTCTTCAAAATCAGCCAGGATCTGCTGTCCTAACTCAGTCTGTGCAGCCTTCACCCTGGAAGGAAAGGGACTGCATTAATGAGTGATATCATTTTCAAACCCCTATACACAATGGATCCACAGGGTCAGGAACTGTTGAAGTCTCTAGCACTGTCCAGGTGATCACCCAAGAAGGAAAAGAGATGTACGACAAGGTAAGAGAGGTCACATAGAAGTAGGCTATGACTTGAATACAAGCATCTCGGGTTGGATTGTCTTACTGGGTTGTGTGTGTGTTTTTTTTTCAGTGCTAAGGATTGAACCTATGACACTGGGCATGAGAGGCAAGTGCACTGCCATTGAGTCATACTCTCAGGTCTTCAGGATACAGTTCTAGGTCACCCTTACCTACTGTGAAGTATATATGTTGATCATTTCAAACTTTCATTTGGGGGTGGTTATACTGCAGGGAAAGATTATGTAACAGCGCCCTGATCAAACACAAATCTGTTGGATCACTGAAACAACTGCTTCTCGTTCTATGGGGTACAGAGCCGGAAGAGTGGCTCGGACACTTTCGGGTGGTTTTATATTTGCTTTTTATAATATTTTAATTCAGAAAAAAAACATTTACAACAAGTAACAAAAAGAATGTTCTCTAAGGAAAAAACGAGCCAGATGACCAATGAACTATTATTTAAGACCCAGTTCTGAAAAAGCAAAGGCAGGAGGGTCACAGGTTCAAAGCCAGACTGAGATGCATGTGTCTCACAAAGTTAAACAAGTGATGGACACTGGATGAGATTTAGCTTCAAGAGAATGTGAACGAAGACTCAGCTGTAAGGAAAAACATGGAGAAAGACAGCAGGGTGGGGTGTTCTCAATGGCATCTGCAGGAATATGAAGTGCTCAAGAAATAGTCAGCTTGACTGAAAGAGCAGAAAGGAGAAGAAACTAGAATGAAACAGGACGTGTACATCAGCAAGCACCACACTTATGCCCTCCTTGCCCCTGCCAGCTGCCTCTGCTGGTGATACCTGGCTTGTCCCAGCCAGGCAGAGCTAGGGAGCTAGGCTCCTGGGCAGCTGTGGACTTCCCCGAGCCTGATGTCAAGACTTGCTTTGCCAAAAGCACCATGAAGCAGCCTGCCTCCTTTCTTGGACTCCACCCTGCAACTTCTGGATTGATTTTATAAAGTTTCTAGAAATAGTGAATAACCTAAAACCACAATTTCTTTGGCTACTGGGGAGAACCTGGCAAGTGCTTGAGATTTTGTTTTTTTAACAAGAGCATAGGCATGACCCAGAACATTGAGTTTCTTCCTGTGGTATAGTTACATTCATGCCTGGTTCCAAATACTTTCCAGGGTTTTTCCACTATCGTCAAATGTTCCAAACTATTCCTACAGGTAAGTTTATATTCTTTTAAGTTTGTGTTCAAGATAAGGCTATGATGGAATCTACCCCACCACCACCTGGAGTTGCCCAAGAGACATCTGGAAACTTTGGGAGTGTAAAGTCTGATGTGAGAGACAAGAATGTTCTTTCATAAAATTGTCCCTCAGAGCATCTCGCCACTCCCCAGAGTGAGCCAGCAGGCTGTCTGCTGTGTGGCCAGGTCACAAGGCGGAGATCCAGATGTTCATGCCCCTCTGTTCTGACCCTCTTCTTGGAAGCACAAAGATAACACCAGTTTTTTACTGAGCTATGGGACAAATCACATAGGTGAGGACCAGAGATATGCATGGTCAGGGCCACTGAGCCCTCAACTGCCTCTGTTACCTCCACGCTACTTTATTACAATTCCCAACCACCATGTTCTTGCTGATTCTAACATTGCAGTGGGTCTTGGCACTGGAGTACAAAAGAAAAGGAATTATCAGACTCCCATTTGTAATGTTTTCTAATGTTCAAAGTCACCTTTGAAACCAGATAGACTTAGCTGTGCCACTAATAAGCTGCATGCAATAAGTTACTTCCTGTATGTGGGCCACTACTAAGAACCACTGTAACTAAGAACCATTGTGAAAGGGGCTGGAGAGATGGTTCAGCAGATGACCGCTCTTCCAGAGGACCAAAGTTCATTCCTAGGACCCACACTAAGTGACTCACAAACATCTGTAACTACAATTCCAGGGGATTCAACAGCCTTTTCTGGCCTCCAAGGGCACTCACAGACGCACATAAAGGAGGGAGGGGAAGAGGGAGAGAGAGAGGGGAGGAGGGAGGACAGAGGCCTGTACTAAAGGGCTTCAATGTGTCTCCAGTACTGATTATTTCACAACACCCAGCTTACAGTTTTAGCAGGCAATAGTGCTCACTTTTACAAGCGGTGGCAAGAGGGAGTCATAATTAATATGAGGGCAGGAAAATAAGCTTTCTGCCTAGAATTGTTTGCAGCAGTGGCTGCCTCCCAGTGACTAAGATGAAAGAGCAGCTATTCCCCAGCAGACATTACCGACAAAGATGGATCACATTCACAGGCATTCTCTGGGTGAGATGTAAGCCGCAGCTTTCTATAATAATGGTTACAGATTATGAATTATTCCCCCAAAGACTCCTATGTTGAGGCCTTGATCTTCAGGCAGTGCTACTGAGAGGTGACTGGACCATGAGGACAGACTTCACCAATGCACTAATCCGCTGACAGATTGACCATTTGATGGGGTAATTGAGAAGTGACGGAACAAGGAAATGGGGCACGGTTTGAAGAAGTAGATCACTGGCTAGGATTGGCAGTGCCCCAGAAGGAGTGCGAGTGTGTAAGTTAGAGGATAACTTGTACCAGTCAGTTTTTCTCCTTCTATTGTATGGGTTCCAAGGATCAAACTGGGTTGTCAGGCTTGGTAACAGGCATCTTGACCCACTGAGCCATATTACTGGCTCACATAGAAGGTGTATTTTGTCCTCAGATCCTTGCTATATTTTTCCTGGCCTCATGTCTGCCTGAGGTGAGCTCACATGCTCTGCCATGTGCTCACTACATGATGTTATCTACGTTGTCCAGAAACAACATAGTTAGTGACCATAGATTGAAGACCATAGATTGAAACCATGAACCAAAATAAGCTTTACATTTCTTGAGACAGGGTCTCACTTAGTAGCTTTTGCTGATCTATAACTTGCTATGTAGTTCAGGCTGGCCTCTAACTCAAAGAGTTCTACCTGCCTCTGCCTCCAGAGTACCAGCTGAGACTAAAGGTGTGCATCACTAGTCCAGCAACCATTGCCTCTTTTAAGTATTTTTCTTTGTTATTTCCTCGCAGTACAGAAACCATTGGAATAACCAATAGTCTAAACTGGATCCTAGAAATAAGTTGATGGACTTGCCATTAGCATACCAACTAACATGGAGCAGGAAGGATTAAAAGTTCCTTCCAGCAGCTGAGTATGGAAGCCCATGCCTTTACTCCCAGCACTCAGGAGGCAGAGGCAGGTAGATCTCTTTGAGTTCCAGGATAGCCAGGGCTATACAGAGAGACCCTGCCTCAAACACAAACAAAAAAGTTCTTCCTGGCATCCAAATAAACTTAGTCTGTTGTGTGATAGCTATCTGAAGTTGGTTACTACTAGGAAATGAAGCATCCTGTTATCTAGAAAATTATCAATGAGTTCTCTGGTATCATTCATGCCATGTGATCACAGGGTTTCTCAAAGGTGCCCCTCTCTAAATATAACATCACTTATAAGAAGTCATGGCGGACAAAGAGTAAGAAAACTAGAGATTTATAGAAAATTATCAGAATATATTCATTATCTTGTGACAATCCAAAGAAAATACCCTCCACTGCTTTGAAATAAGTGTACTGACTTCCCATATAATGGCTTTACTGAATGGAGGGGATTAGTCAAATACTATAACGCAATAGGTGCTACCAAGAATCTCAACCTAGAGATTCTAAGGATCATGTCTGCAAGTCAGGATTCTCCATCCAGAGACAATGGCCCCAACGGGATGGAGCCTGAAGGCATCATCGAGAGTAACTGGAATGAGATGACATGAATCTCTCAGAATCCCTCCTCCATGGTATTTATGCCTATGGTTTTGAGAAGCCCTCAGCCATCCAGCAGCGAGCATTCTACCTTGTATCAAGGGATATGATATGATTGCTCAAGCCCAGTCTGGGACTGGGAAAACAGCTACATTTGCCAAATCAATTCTGCAGCAGATTGAGTTAGATCTGAAGGCTACTCAGGCTTTGGTTCTGCCACCCACTCGTGAGTTGGCTCAGCAGATACAAAAGGTGGTCATGGCATTAGGAGACTACATGGGTGCCTCTTGCCATCCCTGTATTGGGGGCACCAATGTGCGTGCTGAGGTGCAGAAGCTGCAGATGGAAGCCCCCCATATCATCGTGGGCACCCCTGGCCGCGTGTTTCCTGTCCCCCAAATACTGGATGAAGCAGATGAAATGTTAAGCCATGAGTTCAAGGACCAGATATATGATATATTCCAAAAGCTTAACAGTAACACACAGGTAGTTTTATTGTCTGCTACAATGCCCTCTGATGTCCTTGTGGTGACCAAGAAGTTCATGAGAGACCCCATTCGGATTCTTGTAAAGAAGGAAGAGTTGACCCTGGAGGGTATCCGTCAGTTCTACATCAATGTGGAAAGAGAAGAGTGGAAGCTTGACACATTGTGTGACTTGTACGAAACCCTGACTATCACCCAGGCAGTAATCTTTATCAATACCAGAAGGAAGGTGGATTGGCTCACTGAGAAGATGCATGCCCAGGATTTCACTGTTTCCGCCATGCATGGAGATATGGACCAAAAGGAACGAGATGTGATCATGACGGAGTTCCGGTCTGGTTCTAGCAGAGTATTAATTACAACTGACCTGTTGGCCAGAGGCATTGATGTGCAGCAGGTCTCCTTAGTCATCAATTACGACCTTCCCACCAACAGGGAAAACTACATCCACAGAATTGGTCGTGATGGGCACTTTGGGCGTAAAGGTGTGGCTATTAATATGGTGACAGAAGAAGACAAGAGGACTCTTCGAGACATTGAGACATTCTACAATACCTCCATTGAAGAGATGCCCCTCAATGTTGCTGACCTCATTTGAGG